GTAGAAAGGCCCCCTTTATCAGGGGTAGAAAGGCTCCCTTCATCAGGGCTCGGTGGGGTGGTGGTGAAGGGAGTGTGTACGGGACTGATAAGTTGGGGGAGGGGGATGAATATGATGACATCGGGTGTGGGAATTCTAGTCTTCTGATGCCTCCAATCTATGCCTGATTTTTAGGTTCCTGCGGATTTCACAGACAAGCTGCACCACCACCATGGAGGACATCATCAGTGCGGACTTCCTCAGGGCTTCCAGGTGTCCAGTGAGTGTCCATCGTCTCCTAGCAGAACCCCGCGGTGAAGCCGGTCCTGTCTTCGGCTTTTTACTGGGAGGGTTGTACCGGCAGCCATGTGCCAGACAAGACGGGGTACCAGACTCGGGGCGGGGCGAGGGACCACAACCCCCCTCCCTTGGTGTCATGCAGTGCGGGGGTCAGTTCTGGGCTTTCTGCAGAGAGCCTAGCATCACCCGCACTTGTATCATGGGAGCCGGCGGCATTAACCCTTTCGCTGCCAGAGACGGGTTCTTCCTTTTTGCATACGTTTACCAGGCACCGTTCCCCTCCCCCAGGCAGGCCAATGTTCAGCACTTTGAATGACAATTGCGCGGTCATGCGACACCACACCCAGATGATATTTGTATCATTTTTTTCACACAAATAAGAGCTTTCTTTTGCTGGTATTTAATCACCTCTGAGTTTATTTTTTGCTAAATAAAATAAAAAACAACTGAAACGTTTGGGAAAAAACGCACTTTACTTTGTTTCGGTTATAAAATTTTGCAAATAAATATAATTTCTTCATAAACTTCAGTCAGAATGTATTCTGCTCCATAAAAATAATAATAAAAAATTTGAATTTGTGCGGTTTTTTTTTTCCAAATATTTCTATTATTTTTTTTATTTTTTATAAAAAAAATTTCTTTCTTTTATTATTTTATTTTTCTGCACACGGCGACCGAAGCAATACAGCGTTACCATAGTAACACGGAACTCCTCTGGGAAGTGATCAGGATTTTATTTTTTTTTAACACATCGATTGCTGATACCAATGTATTTCATTGATGTTCGCCATCATTGTTACTGAAGGAAACGGATTCATTCAGTCTTTTGTTATGATTAACTGTGATTGGGCAAAGGTGATCACATGATACAGATGGGCTGTGATTGGGCGAAGCTGATCACATGATACAGATGGGCTGTGATTGAGCGAAGCTGATCACGATACAGATGGGCTGTGATTGGGCGAAGCTGATCACATGATACAGATGGGCTGCGATTGGGCGAAGCTGATCACATGATACAGATGGGCTGCGATTGGCAAAGGTGATGACATGATCCAGATGGGCTGCGATTGGGCAAAGGTGATCACATGATCCAAATGGGCTGCGATTGGGCAAAGGTGAGCACATGATCCAGATGGGCTGCGATTGGGCAAAGGTGATGACATGATCCAGATGGGCTGCGATTGGGCAAAGGTGATCACATGATCCAGATGGGCTGCGATTGGGCAAAGGTGATCACATGATCCAGATGGGCTGCGATTGGGCAAAGGTGATCACATGATCCAGATGGGCTGCGATTGGGCAAAGGTGATGACATGATCCAGATGGGCTGCGATTGGGCAAAGGTGATCACATGATCCAGATGGGCTGCGATTGGGCAAAGCTGATCACATGGTACAGATGGGCTGTGATTGGCCCTGTCTGTATCATGTGACTGCCTCGACCAATCACAACTTACAACATGATTGTATACAATGAATGGCATGATAGAAAGCCCTCCATTGTATATAACTGAAATGTGATCTGCTGTGATTGGTCACCACGGTCACATGACACTGGCAACGGGTCGGGGTAGTGATATGTCATCGGCTGTGTCCCGTGGACAGATCGCCACGTGAGCGTCTCGTTTTGACAAGACGTCATATGATGCCCAATCAAGAGGAGTGTTCTTCCCTGCTGCCAATCTACTATAGGCAGGGCAGGAAGGGGTGAAAATGTCATTTTTGGACTGAAGATGACACGAAGCCCCCCAAGCATGATCTAACATGATCTCCAACACTTACCTGAGTCCCCTCTCCATCCAGCGATGTGCACTGGAGTCTCGGCTGTCCCTCCTGGATGTGAACCCGGCCTCCTGGACGTGAACCCGGCCTCCTGGCTCATATGGTTCAGCCGTGTCTGGCCTTAGTCTGGCCATGCGGCTTCTGAGGAGCCGGTTGAGCCGTGTCTGGCCTTGGTCTGGCCATACGTCTTCTAAGGAGCCGGTTTCATGCTCTCTGGTTGGTTTGAATCTCGGGGGGTTCACATCTGTGCAGGTTGCGGTTTATGAGTTTCTGGCGCATTGTTGAAAACGCATTTTTTATGCATTTTGTAGGGTTTTTTGGTGAATAGGAACGTATGACAGTTCTGTTCATGAAGTGCGACTTTGATGCGACTTTACACTCTCTGGCACTCAAGTCGCATCAAAGTAGTACTGCCGGACCTTTGTGTGTCCAGAGTCGCAGGTTAGGGGTGGGACCGGGTATCAAACTGGCAGCCCTCCGGATGCTGAGAAACTACAAATCCCATGAGGCGTTGCAAGATTGACAGTTACAAGCATGACTCCCATAGGCAGAGGCATGATGGGACTTGTAGTTTGACAACAGCTGGAGGGCCACCAGTTTGACTCCCTTGGAAGGGTTAGTCCCATCATGCCTCTGCCTTTGGGAGTCATGCTTGTAACTGTCAATCTTGCAATGCCTCATGGGATTTGTAGCTTGGCAAGGGCTGGAGGGCCGCCAGTCTGACACCCCTGGAAGGGTTAGTGGCGAATGTTTGGGTTAGAACCCTAACCCTACTGATTACGGCAAACCCAACATTTGCCGCTAACCCTAACCCAGGGGTGTCAGACTGGTGGCCCTCCAGCTGTTGCCAAACTACAAGTCCCAGGAGGCATTGCAAGGCTGACAGTTACAAGCATGACTCCTGAAGACAGAGGCATGCTGGGACTTGTAGATTGGCAACAGCTGGAGGGCCACCAGTGACACCCCTGGAAGGGTTAGTGGCAAATGTTGGGTTTGCTGTAATCAGTAGGGTTAGGGTTCTAACCCAAAACATTCGCCCCTAATCCATCCAGGAGTGTCAGACTGGCGGCCCTCCCCTCCAGAGGATTAAAATCCTCCCCCTCCAGAGGATTCCCTCCCCCTTCCTGACCAGGTCATTTTTTTGCGTTACGGCGCTGCATTACTGTAACTGACAATTGTGCTGCACCCAGATGACATTTATGTCCTTTTTTCCCCACCAATTACGGTTTCTTTCGGCAGTATTTGCTCCTCTGTGCGGTTTTTATTTTTTTGCGCTATAAACAAATTGACAATTTTAAGAAAAAAAACAATATTTCTGACTTTTTCCTATAAAACACATCCAGTAAAAAAATTCCGTCATAAATTTCGGCCAGAATGTCTCCCGCCCTGTGTCTTCGCTGTAACATCCCGCTCCGTGTCTTTGCTGTAACATCCTGCTCCGTGTCAGGGAATCTCTGTCCGGGACCCGGTGATGGACGCTTTCTGAAGACTCAGAGGAATCCAAGACTTTACCTGGGTCATTCCCCACAGACCTACAAGGAGGACTTGCACTAACCAATCAGCAACCATCCAAGCATATCTGACTGCAGTGAACAAACACACGATTGGTTACGACTTTCAGAACCTGAGTCCCCTCTCCATCCAGCGATGTGCACTGGAGTCTCGGCTGTCCCGGGGCTCTTTCTCCTCATTGGCTGAGACATTGGCTCCCAGTGCTATGAATCACAGCCAATGAGAAGAGAGAGGGGGTGTGGCTGAGCCACGACTCAGTGTGTGAATGGACACACGGAGCAGTGGGTGCCCCCATAGCTAGCTGCTTATTGCGGGGGCACCCAACAGGAGGGAGGGGCCAGCAGAGCCTGTGAAGAGGAGGAGCCCGGCTGCTCTGTGCACAACCATCACACAGCAGGTAAGTACAGACATGTTTGGCCTGTAGACCCGCGTGTGTGCGCTCGTGACATTCCACCCCCCTATATTTCCTATAGGTGAGGCTTCCATCGCCCCCTACACGTCTGGTGCTGGAACTGTTGCTCTGACTCTGGCGTGCTCGCCGATATGTAACACGAGTATCGCAATCTACATTTTCACACGTAGGTGCCCCGATGTGTGCGTTTATGTTCGTTCGTGCGTATATGTGGGGGTGGGGGCTCAATTTTTTTTTTGGGGGGGGGGTGTTATGTGCTTGGGTGGCAGCCACTGGACCGTGTATAACCCCCCCCCCCCCATACTGTCTGGCAGCGAAAGGGTTAAATGCTCGCTCAATAGATCCCACCAGATAATAAAAACCAATGACAACAACTTCCCCTCCCCCCCCCCCTTCCCAGAGGCAGGCAGCCCATTCATCGACTTTTCTTGGGGACGATGTGAGTGCGGTCCTGTAAATTATCCCATTTTGTCTCTGGCAGGTCCGTGTTCCATCAGAAAGCTGCAGAGCCACACAAAGCAGGAGGGCGCCGCTGACAAAGTCACACCCAGGAGTGCACTAGACAAATGGACTCAGACTAACACAGCGCCCAATGAAGACGGGAAACTCACACAGAGCTCCGCCTCCGAGGAGCACTCACCCTTCAGAACGACTTGCATTAAGGAGGAGATGGACGAAGAGGAAAGCCTCACCAACGGGTCCAAGCCTCCCGCCGACACCCACATCGATTACATCATCACCTACATCAAGGAGGAAGACGAATCGTGCGACGAGGAGACGTTTTCGGAGCCTTTCTCACCCAGAGAGTACGCCTCCATTTGTAAAAGGGGCGGGGAGCAGAACATGACGGTCATGTACACGGGCTCGGAGAAGAGGGGCCACGGTCCAGCTTCTACCTCCCGCTTTTTGGAGGATGCCCAACTCATGCACAGCTTTGCCGAGTGCGAGAAATGCTTCACCTGCAACAAGCATCAGCGGATCCACATCCGGGACAAACCCTTCGCCTGCTCCACATGTGGCAAATTCTTCACCACCAACTCCAACCTGGTGGCCCACCAGAGGATCCACACCGGGGAAAAGCCTTTCTCCTGCTCAGAGTGTGGAAAATGCTTCACGAGCAGCTCGGACCTGGTCAAGCACAAGATCATTCACACCGGGGAGAAGCCCTTTCCGTGCTCCTCGTGCGGGAAATGTTTCACTAACAAGTCCAACTTGATCAAACACCAGAGAATCCACACGGGTGAACGGCCTTATTCCTGCCCTGAGTGCGGGAAGAGGTTCACCAGCACCTCACACCTGGTTACACACCGTAGGACCCATACGGGGGAGAAGCCTTACCCTTGCCCAAGCTGCGGGAAGTTCTTTAGCAATAAGTCACACCTGGTGGAACACCAGAGAATCCACACAGGGGAGAGGCCTTTTATTTGCCCCGAGTGCGGGAAATGCTTCACTCAGAAGAGCAACCTCAATAATCACCTGAGAATTCATTCCCGGGGAAAGATGGTAAATATTCGCCGAGAATCAGAACCTAGATCTGACATAAACTGAGATCCAGCAAGACTTCGGCTGGGAACCCTACTCTGGTGAAGACTGTGACTACTTTGGTGAAGACTGTGACTACTCTGGTGAAGACTGTGACTACTCTGGTGAAGGCTGTGACAACTCTGGTGAAGGCTGCGACAACTCTGGTGAAGACTGTGACTACTCTGGTGAAGACTGTGACATCTCTGGGTGCTCTGAGACTGGACAAGGCCATGACTTCTGGGTGATGGGTAGCATAGTCCATAATGCAAATAAAAGAAAGGAACGGGGCACCCCATCCAAGTATAGCCTGAGAAATGCAGAGCTTGGCAGGCAGGTGACTGGTGGATGCAGAAATTGGCAGGCAAGCGGCTGGTGGATACAGAGCTCAGCAGGCAAGCGGCTGGTGGATACAGAGCTCGGCAGGCAGGTGGCTAGTGGATGCAGAGCTCGGCAGGCAGGTGGCTGGTGGATGCAGAGCTCAGCAGGCAGGTGGCTGGTGGATGGAGAGCTTGGCAGGAAAGCGGCTGGTGGATGGAGAGCTTGGCAGGAAAGCGGCTGGTGGATACAGAGCTCGGCATGCAGGCGGCTGGTGGATACAGAGCTTGGCAGGCAAACGGCTGGTGGATGCAGAGCTCAGCAGGCAAGCGGCTGGTGGATGTAGAGCTCGGCAGGCAAGTGGCTGGTGGATGCAGAGCTCGGCAGGCAAGTGGCTGGTGGATGCAGAACTTGGCAGGCAAGCGGCTGGTGGATGCAGAGCCCACAGCTGGATATTCAACTCAAAACCTCCAAAGTAGATGTGGACATTCAGATCGTGAAAGTTTACAAAGAGAGGTCTGGTTGTGAAGGCCCCAAAGTTTTGGTTTTAGGAATCAGAATCCAAAGTTGGATGTTCGACCCTAGGTCTTCAAAAATGGATCTAGAAATGTAAAGATAGAAGTTCACAGACCGAGGTCTGGTTCTGAAGGCCCTACTGGAGTTATGGTTTTAGGGATCAGAGTTGGGTAGTCAACTCAAAACCTCTAAAATAGAAGCGGGTGTTCAGATGATGGAAGTTCACAGAGAGGTCTGGCTGGGAACTCAGAATCCACAAATGGGATGTTCAGCCCTAAATCTTTGGAAATGGATGTAGATGTGTGAAGACGGGTGTCTGACGGTGAGGGAAATGGGTGAAGACGGGTGTCTGACGGTGAGGAAGAAGGCGGGTGTCTGACGGTGAGGGAAGTGGATGAAGACGGGTGTCTGACGGTGAGGAAGATGGAAGAAGGCGGGTGTCTGACGGTGAGGGAAATGGGTGAAGACGGGTGTCTGACGGTGAGGAAGATGGAAGAAGGCGGGTGTCTCACGGTGAGGGAAATGGACGAAGGCGGGTGTCTGACGGTGAGGGAAGTGGATGAAGACGGCTGTCTGACGGTGAGGGAGGTGGATGAAGAGGGGTGTCTGATGGTGAGGGAAATGGATGAAGATGGGTGTCTGACGGTGAGGGCCCAGCCCAGAGGTATGGCCTCAGGAGACAGATCCATCACCACAAATGTCCAGTACAGGTCTTCGGCTGAAGGGCCCTGAAGATGGGTCTGAGGTACCACTGCTGGATCAGTTGGCCCTTCGAGTGACTCTGTTCTCAGAAATGTGAAGTCCCGATTCTGAGAGCGAATCCTACAAACGGTTCTCTAACGAGCTGCTGAGAATCTTGATGACACCTGGGAGACCTCATTACTTGTAAAAAACAAAAAACTGTTTTTTAGTAAAATGTTTATATTTCTTGGACTTTGAAGATGATGTGAAGTATAAACTATGAATAGTTTTCCTCTGATGAGCGAAGACAATCGATATAAAGAGAATCCTCACACTGAGGGGCGTCTGTGTGATTCATAAAATCTCAGCTTTCTAGTAGAACCATAAAGTCAGCAGTCCAAATCCAACAGCAGGACGTGAACCCAGCCTCCTGGACGTGAACATGGCCTCCTGGACACGAACCTGGCCTCTTGGACGTGAACCCGGCCTCCTGGCTCGCTTGGTTCAGCCGTGTCTGGCCATACGTCTTCTAAGGAGCCGGTTTCATGCTCTCTGGTTGGTTTGAATCTCGGGGGGGTTCACATCTGTGCAGGTTGCGGTTTATGAGTTTCTGGCGCATTGTTGAAAACGCATTTTTTTATGCATTTTGTAGGGTTTTTTGGTGAATAGGAATGTATGACAGTTCTGTTCATGAAGTGCAACTTTGATGCGACTTTACACTCTCTGGCACTCAAGTCGCATCAAAGTAGGACTGCCGGACCTTTGTGTGTCCAGAGTCGCAGGTTAGGGGTGGGACCGGGTATCAAAATGGCAGCCCTCCGGATGCTGAGAAACTACAAATCCCATGAGGCGTTGCAAGATTGACAGTTACAAGCATGACTCCCATAGGCAGAGGCATGATGGGACTTGTAGTTTGGCAACAGCTGGAGGGCCACCAGTTTGACTCCCTTGGAAGGGTTAGTCCCATCATGCCTCTGCCTTTGGGAGTCATGCTTGTAACTGTCAATCTTGCAATGCCTCATGGGATTTGTAGCTTGGCAAGGGCTGGAGGGCCGCCAGTCTGACACTCCTGGAAGGGTTAGTGGCGAATGTTTGGGTTAGAACCCTAACCGTACTGATTACGGCAAACCCAACATTTGCCGCTAACCCTAACCCAGGGGTGTCAGACTGGTGGCCCTCCAGCTGTTGCCAAACTACAAGTCCCAGGAGGCATTGCAAGGCTGACAGTTACAAGCATGACTCCTGAAGACAGAGGCATGCTGGGACTTGTAGATTGGCAACAGCTGGAGGGCCACCAGTGACACCCCTGGAAGGGTTAGTGGCAAATGTTGGGTTTGCCGTAATCAGTAGGGTTAGGGTTCTAACCCAAACATTCGCCCCTAATCCATCCAGGAGTGTCAGACTGGCGGCCCTCCCCTCCAGCGGATTCCCTCCCCCTTCCTGACCAGGTCATTTTTTTGCGTTACGTCGCTGCATTACTGTAACTGACAATTGCGCTGCACCCAGATGACATTTATGTCCTTTTTTCCCCACCAATTACGGTTTCTTTCGGCGGTATTTGCTCCCCTGTGCGGTTTTTATTTTTTGCGCTATAAACAAATCGACAATTTTAAGAAAAAAAACAATATTTCTGACTTTTTCCTCTAAAACACATCCAGTAAAAAAATTCCGTCATAAATTTCGGCCAGAATGTCTCCCGCCCTGTGTCTTCGCTGTAACATCCCGCCCCGTGTCTTCGCTGTAACATCCCGCTCCGTGTCTTCGCTGTAACATCCCGCTCCGTGTCTTCGCTGTAACATCCCGCTCTGTGTCAGGGAATCTCTGTCCGGGACCCGGTGATGGACGCTTTGTGAAGACTCAGAGGAATCCGAGACTTTACCTGGGTCATTCCCCACACTCCTACAAGGAGGACGTGCACTAACCAATCAGCAACCATCCAAGCATATCTGACTGCAGCGAACAAACACACGATTGGTTACGACTTTCAGAACACGCTCCATGTTCTTTGTGCTTCTCCAATGGCTGTGCCCATAGAAGTCAGTTTTCTGGTACTTGGGGTTTGTAAGTAAGCATCAGAGTGACACGGACAAGGGCCACAAGATGGAGATATATACATGAAGCTGGTGGGTGCTCTGCAATAAAACTGACACCATGCCAGTCCATAGATTCCGGTGTCAGTATAGAAAGGATAGCAAAGTTGTAGATCTCCAAATGACCACCTGCTCATCTCAAAGGTTGTGTGCCTCCAGAAACCATTGGTGGTCACCAAGTATCAGATATTTCCCTCAGAAACCATTGGTGGTCACCAAGTATCAGATATTTCCCTCATGAAACTATTAATGGTCATTACCTGTCAGATATTTCCCTCAAGAAACCATTGGTGGTCTCCAAGTGTCAGATATTTCCCTCAGAAACCATTGCTGGTCCCCAATTGTCAGATAGTTCCCTCATGAAACTATTAATGGTCATCACTTGTCAGATATTTCCCTCAAGGCCATTGGTGTTCTCCAAGTGTCAGATATTTCCCTCAGAAATCATTGGTGGTCCCCAATTGTCAGATATTTCCCTCATGAAACTATTAATGGTCATTACCTGTCAGATATTTCCCTCAGAAACCATTGGTGGTCACCAAATATCAGATATATTTCCCTCAGAAACCATTGGTGGTCCCCAATTGTCAGATATTTCCTTCATGAAACTATTAATGGTCATCACTTGTCAGATATTTACCTCAAGAAACCATTGGTGGTCTCCAAGTATCAGATATTTCCCTCAGAAACCATTGGTGGTCACCAAGTATCAGATATTTCCCTCAGAAACCATTGGTGGTCCTTAATTACCAGATAGTTCCCTCATGAAACTATTAATGGTCATCACTTGTCAGATATTTCCTTCAAGAATCAATTGGTGGTCTCCAAATGTTAGATATTTCCTTCAGAAGCCATTGGTGGTCACCAAGTATCAGTTCCCTCATGAAACTAATAATGGTCATTACCTGTCATATTTCCCTCAGAAACCATTGGTGGTCACCAACTATCAGATATTTCCATCAGAAACCATTGGTGGTCCCCAATTGTCAGATAGTTCCTTCAAGAAACCATTGATGGTCCCCAGTTGTCAGATACAGTGGGGCAAAAAAGTATTTAGTCAGCCACAAATTGTGCAA